TACTATATTCAAATTCTCATCGCCAGTGCTGCAAAGTTCTGAGATATAAGCTTTAAAGATTTACTACATTTTGATTTCTACCCTTCTCCTTTTTCTCAGCATAATCCATTAACCTTTTATCTCCAGAGAGAGGTCCCCATCGTTTAAAACAAGGAAATCACACACAATGAAGTCCCTGAAATGATGTTCTTTAAAGAGAAAAATATTAGTTTTTGGAGTTGAGATTTTTCCCATAACATATTGGAACACACAATATTTTACTCACTCGAGTTTGACATCTCTGTAGTAGAGTAAGCTAAGAGCCATGGAGCTTGGTTAAGGGAACTCTTGTTTTATTGAATGATAAAGAAATGGTTGAGCTTATTGATAACACCGGTTTCCCATAGGCAACATAATCTTGATTGTCAAGATGTGTTGGGCTTCCTGTCATTTTTGTTGTTGGTGGCTGATGTTCAAGAATATGTCTGTGTGTGTGTTGTGTTCCATTAGAGTTCTTAATTCTGTGTTACTGAATATTCCATCCTTTTACAGGGGCACAATTTCTGGGTTGGGATTATCTCTCAATTCTAAGCTTCCAGATGTTAACAGAGGCAAAACACAAGGAAGAAGAGTTCCCGTATTTCTAAATGAAATGAGGCAGAACAAATGAAAGCGGATCCCTTAGCTTGCTTAGAGAACTGAAAGTGTACATTACTAAGAGGTATCGCTATGCCTGTTCAAACACAGTAACTCATGTCAAATAAATTGTACTTCTGCAAGAAAGAACTCTAGCTCAGGGTTTTCCAAGCTAAATTGCATGAAAACACACAATCCTTTTTCTTCTTATTTGAACTGTTAGATGACGGGGCCAAATTACCAGAAAGACCAAAGGCAGTTTGCAACCTTTAACAACTGAAAGGACTTATTGCTTCCAATTGGGAAGCACAAAAGATTGCGGGGCCAGTCCAAGCACTCCCAGGTCATATGCATTTCCCATTAGATGTATAAAGAAAGCATGCCTTTAAGTAACAAGTATTTCAAAGGCATTTGATATTTCAAAACTGGAGACTATGTTGACTAAAGATAGGAAAGGTCTTATCCTTTGACAGGTCTTAAAGAAAGAACATGGACAATTCATTCATTCATGCTCATTCTCTGTGTGTATCTGTGCTTCTCTGTCTGTCACTCATCAATTGTTGTCCCATTATCCTTGGCCCCATAGTGTCATTCAGGTCTACTGGACTGGCAGGAATTATTTTACAGATCCAATCAAATTCCATTAAGTCTGTAAAGATAGTTAAGCACTATTCTCCAGCACTGCACTGGAGAGCCCAAGGGAGGTAATGCATCCATTTTTCAATACCTGAGGCCATTTTGTTCCCTACCTTAATAGTTCTTACGCGTTGGTTTCGAGTGAAATATCTCCACTCATCTTGCACTACTATTCCACTATGAACACCAAGCTTAGGAGATATAATTACAGTGTGTGGTAGACAGTGATTTTCCTTAACTACACAGAAAACTGTTTAGGGAGAGACATTTCATTCTTATTGATTCAATCAAAATGACTTGGAAGAAAAGGCTGTGCTTATTAAATTCTTTTCATGAAGGTAACTATTAAAATTTAAATTTTTAACACCATTTTAAAAACCTGGTATATAATCTCTTCTGATTTTGTCATTTATGAATTTTCCTCATTCTTTTGAAATATGTAACTTCTATTTGCTTCATTTTTTTAAAGTGGAGAAAGGGAGATTTTTATTTGGGAGTAAAGAATATCATCAACAATGCTCTCTGCAAGACATGGAGTTGCCTAGCAATGCTAGGGGAATTTAAAGGGAGACATAATAACAAAACAGAATGTTATGAAATTACAAGAGGGTGTACTGTTAAATTGGATTGTAATACTTATCAAGAGGACTTTAAATTAGAACAGATATAATATGATTTTCCAGCAGCATTATAAAAAATGGCTGATGATTTTTCAAAGTTCTTTCTTTTATTTAGAACAGTTTACCCAATGGGATTCTGCTATTTTGAGTTCATGACTAGGTAAAATGTAGGACAGAGACATCTGAGAATAAATCATAGAGCCCCAGAGAGTCACTGGTACTTGAATTCTTTCTAGTTGGACTAATTGAGTGTAAGATACATCAACTTTTTATATTTTGATATTTTTTTGCAGGTTATTGCTTGCATGGTAGGATGCTGGTCCCTGTTTACAGAGTCCTTCTCTGAATTTTTCATGCTGAGTGAGACTGTTATTGTCTCTTATATAACCTCTCCAAAAACAACAAGTTGATATACCTAGGATTCTCCCAGATCCCAAACTGGCTGGTACAAATTAGAAACTTAACAGCATGATTTGATTTGTACTTTTTACTTTCCCTTGATTATGCCAAATCTTTTCGAAAAGAAAAGTATCCCTGCATCCTGGGGTTACCTGTATCACCTAACAATGCAAGAAATACGGCACTGAATGAGATGCTGGCTCTTACAGAGATGGTAGAAACAGCAGCAAAAAAAAAAAAAGGAATCCAAATGGAATATGCGCAGAACTATGAACTTAGGAAACGGAAATCCTAAATAGATGCACAATGGAAATTGATGAGCCATGTGCAGAAATCTATCCTTGCGTCAGCAAGAAAACTTGTGGATGTTTTGGTTGGGAAGGAGAACACTTGAGCAAGTAGGGAAAAGTGGTTTGGAATGTGGAAGAATGCACCTGAAAGTCAAACAAGAAACAAGTCTAGTTTCTAGAAACAGTTATGCTCCATGCTAATTGCACCTCTTGGATTACAAGATTTTTAAGGTTTAAAATAGACCTAGTAGGTTATCACTGAAGTCTATTTCAGTTCTCCCTCTGAATTCCATGATTGTATGGCTGTAGTCTGAAAAACTTATGATAGATTACCTCCACAGTTCTGAATTTTCACTGCAATCTCAACATAGCTGAGAGCTACACAGTGATTATAACTGTTACTGTATATAATGCCTAGTTCTCTACGTTTTTCTTTATAAATTCTGAGGTACAGACAAAGTATTACATGGAGATCATTTTGAAGTGATTTCTCTTTTGCTTTGTAACTCAGCCAACTAGTTACTTCTTTGGTGGAACAGATGCCCCTCTTCCTTGCTCCTGCAGAGGTTGTCTCCAGATGTTCTTCCTGATTGTGCTGCTCCACAACTTGTCTCTTCACAACTCCCTCATGTCCACTGCTTAATTCTTTACTGATCACCAAATATGTTCTTCCATCCTCAATTCTGCATCCTAGTCTGTATCTTTTCATTAGATCACAAAAGCAGTTTAAACTCAGCCTGGCAAACACTTTCAGATTTTTTTCCTTGTGAATGTAATTAGCCTTCTTGTAAGAGGTTTTTATTTTTCCATATTCATTCATTCAATCAGTCCTACGATATTAAATAGGTCCAGTGTTGATATTTATTGAAGTTTCTCTTCTACTAGACTTCTAGTTACTGTTTCTGTGACCATTATTCCAGAAGCAGGCTTCCTTTTCTTTCACCCTACTTATCCATGTCTCATTGCCCACTCTTGCTTCTCCATTCCATTGCAGTCACTGTCAGACCCGGCCTTTGAGACGCAGCTCCAGCCATGGCACTTACACGCCACTGTAGTCAGTCCCCACCACCCAAACCTCCATAATATCAGTAAAGCTCTTCTTATTCTTGCATTAGAGGCCTTCCATGCCATGGATTGAACTACACTTTCTTTCCATATGCTGCTGTTATAACAATTTTATATCTCAACTAAACCAATTTTTTTGCTTAGCATATATTAACCTTTCTTTCATTAACTAATATACATGACTTTAAGACAACTGCAACTCCTCTCACTTCCCTAGAGGGTCATTTATGCAGACTTGGATTCCATATTCATCAACACCCCTTTCAAATATTGTCACTTCTACAACACCTTTTCTAAAAGTCTTGCTTAGATGTGACCTTTTCTCCTGCTCCTCTATAGCATCATATACCTCTCTTTGGGCATTTTCCTGACTTCTTTTATGCTGTACTTATTGCTATATTTGTCTTATTCTTTTCCATGGGTGTGAAACCCACCCATACATACCACAGTTGTCTATCTTTGAGTATTCAGAAAAGCCTAACTTAGTATATTGAATGTCATTGCTATGCATGCTGTTAATACCCTGAAGTCTTGAAATTATCTAATTATACTGAGGTTTCCTGACTTTCTCAATATCTACTCCTTAGTGAGTTGATGAAATCAGAACTAATAAAATCAGTAATGTAGGATAAGACCAGATTGGATCTGATTTGATGAACTGAAGTTCTAAAGCACAAGCTCCCTATCAGACACTAACAGGTAAAGTTACACACGTTCAATTTTCGGAGTTGAACGATCTTGCACTGTGATCCTTTGTATACTGTGAGTGCCCAGTAAGCATTAGGTAGTGTGATCTTAATTCTCATCATCTCTACAAATCAGCCAAACTACCCAAACTTATAAAGATGCTCCTGAAACCCTTTCATATTGGAGATCCTGCCAGGATACAGTGATTTAATTTGGGAACTGTCACCACAGTCATCAAAAAACTTTCTAGAGGACTCAGAAAGCACCAGCTGTGAAGAATAAAGTACACAAGAATAAGATCTAGGAGTAAAGATGAAAGGAATTGAAATTATGCTCCTTAAAATGGTGTTTGATGAAAGATTTAATATTTGTCTCAGAAATATTTAAAATTTGAAGAATGAAAACAGTAACTGCCTGATTTTATTTCCAGTCAGAACATCAAGTTACATATAATGGGAAGTGCTTAAGGACATATGGACTAAGAAAAATGCCTTCCATATTGGAACAGACTACCAAGGGGGATTTGGAGTCATTTAAAGATACGATTGAATCTTTTACATCTGGAATGATGTAAACACAACCTCTTTCAAATGAGGATATAACAGGTGGTCTCAAGTCTTTCCCAGACATGTAACAGGGTGAGTCTCTGGGAGCTCCCATGGCTTCTCTTGAAGCACCACCCTCTTACCTGAACTCTCGTCTAGACTTTCCTCAGAGATGTGTTCATTTTGGTGGACCCATTCACCATTGCATTTGAAGAATATCTGCATGGCTGGCCTTGCTTTGCACCTGAGTGCAATGGGGTTGCTCTTGATGATATAAGCATCATCCGGCTCCTCTATGAAATGAGGCAGTGTCCCTGGAGCTGAGGGGATGGATTCAGGAAGAGCTTCACCATTGTCGGTTCCTGCAAAATTGAAGATAGATGGCATCAGAAAACAGTCTATACTGACAGCTCATAAATGAGAAAACAATGCAGAAACCACCAGGCCTAAGAATCTGGGCTGAGAACTCTTCATCAGATTAACACAGTATGCTTGTAGCTCTACACAGAGCAACTATTTTCTAGAAGCTAAGCTGGCATAATATGGTATCTCCAGGTGGACAAACATTTATTTGTTGAACAAAGGATAATAATGAATAGAAGAACCCACAAACTTGAGTGTCTTCAGAAATAACTGAGGTAAACATTTGTGGAGCTTGAGGTTGAATATCAAAATTCAGTCTGCTGAGTGGTTATCCCAGAAGTTTCATTGAGGACCTCACATTGACTCAAAACCTTGAAAACATGCAAAGATAGATGTGGTCTTGCCACAGACGTGTGTAAATGACAGCAGAGGTGCTGGACAGCAGCCAGAAGATAGTCCCCAAATTCCAAATTATCATTTTTTTTTAACTTACTACTTTGAAGATTGTCTGGCATCTTACATGGGATAATTTGTAAACTGACTACCCCTTGAAATGGGATGTGAACTCATTCTGCTGTGCAGGGCTCACTTTGCTCCCAACACTGGTCCATGAAATACAATGGGTTTCACTACCAAGGCTGAGAACTAAAGCCAACTAATGTAGGTCTGATTGTGCTATTAGTAGCTTTGGTGATATCTCTCTGAAGATGGGAAACAGATGTGGCTCTCCCTTAACTTTAACTGACAAAGTATCATAAAAATAGAAAACCTTAATCAGGGCTTTGCTTCCTTGAGCAAGTGCAAAAAGGAGTGCATGCTGAGCAGCGGGAAGATGGCCTGGGCAGAAGTACTGTGCAACTTCCAAATCATCCCACTGAAAGAATGAAGAAAGCCAAGATTTCAACACCAAGGTCACATCTATCCTCAACAGAGTCATTCCCAGGGTGATCAAACCAGCCTTTAGAGTTACACTGAGAAAAACTAGAGAGCTACTGGAAGAACCACCCTTCCCATCAGATTCATTTCCCAGGAGAGAGCCTACCCTTGGGATTCATCCTGTCCCCATGCTGGCTTTCTGCCTGCTGTCAGTGAAAGTGTGAGCAGAGCTCCTTACTATTCATACTAACATCAACAACCCAAATGGCTAAGCACTCTCAAAGGTCAACATAACTTATTAACAGTAGGGGTAATGTTAGCTTTAAGGACATTTATGGCAACTTCTCAAATATTCAACATGCAAAATAGGTGGGAAGAATGGACTTCAACAGGTATTTTGCACAAAGAAGAAAATAAGACACTGAGTTACTCAAATGACTCTTTAGTACTGGAACACACAAGCAAGATTTGCCACTGCAATGAATTAAACATAATAGGAGCTAGATTCTCCTAAATAAGATTTTTTTCATTAAATAAACCAATTTAAGGCAGAGGACAAAAACAGCCACATATAACATAATTTAAAATACTATAAGCCTTGATGCATTTGCAATGGAAAAGCTAACTCCTGTGTAAGCAATTCAAGTAAAAAAAAAACAAAACAAAACTGTAACACAAATACTCTAAAAAGTAAGCGCAAATGGTTTATTTCATGAAATTATAATAAAGTTACTTAGAAAATACAACGTGTATATATCACAGGGAGTAAATGCAGTTTCAGAATAGAATCTCAGGAGTGCTTGTGTGTATGTGTGTGTATGTATTTTAAAGTATGAAATTATATTTCAAATGGACTTCATAAAATATATTCTACATTAATTTATTTTATTGCTGACTGTTCCTGCCAATTTCCATCTTCAATAAATACCAAGTCCCTGCAGGCTTTTGTAAATCCATGCATTAGAGGAAATGACAAAGGTATTAAAAGATTTTATATAAGCATCAAATGCTCACACTCCCACCAAGGGCTTGAGCCCTGTCCAAAGTAATTCATTGTTGCATGAAAGGATCACCTGATTAAGAACACATAGGATTTCCAAACCTGGGAGGGTAGACAGTGGGAACCACAGAGACACATTTGGATAAATGCAATTCTGCTTAGCTAGTGGCAGTACATGAATGTGCCCAAAGTAAGTATGGTAAGTGGGAAAAAGACGAGGAGTCATAATCTATAAATGAAGAGAGAGACCGCATATATGTGTGTGATAAATAAAATGTCAGAAAACAAAGGTCATAGATTATACAATTCATCAAGTTTTAACTGTGCAATTCACAAAACACAGAGAGATCTAACAGCAATTAGGTTTCCCCCCTGTCATTTTAACAAATGCCCTTTAGATAAACTAATAAGTTCATTCTGCATCAGAAGCAGCAGGAGAACGGAACAGAGAAGTCTCAGGGTAAATGCTCTGGCTGTTCAAGGACCTCCCTTAATCAATCAATCTTCATGTTCAAAGGACAGAAATAAAAGGTAGAATGTAAAATTTTATTGTAATTATTATTGAAGCAATGTCAAAACCACCCATGCATACAAAAACCCTGGAAGCCACGAAAATAAGAAACAAAGGAAAACAGTTTATTAGCATGACAGTGAGACGGGGAGGGATTGTAGTATACATTTGTAGATGTATTAGCAAGTCTGCATCTTTCTATGAAGTAAATGTGGTAAGTGGGAATGGAGTTCCATGCAGTTTCCCCTTGTGCTTTATTTGTACAAGGAAGTGTTGGAATGGTGGTTATACAATGCTGCTTCTCTGTTATAGTTGATACATTGTGCCAACTTGGGGAGTCTAGAGGTTTGGCTAAGTGACTCAGCAGTTCTGCCTCTTGGGGTGAAAAGGACACGCCCTTACCCTTCTGGGATGTTGTTTATTGTGTTAATTTGAGAAGTTTAGAAGGTTAACTATGTAACTCAGAAGGGGTCCAGGGTACTTTGTATTCATCCTGAGCCTGTGCAAGAGGCAGGCATGCAGAGGGTGTGGGTGTAGAGGATGACCCCCACCTTTCCAGAGCAGGTAGACTGCATTAAAAAAGGAATTGAGGAAGGACTGGCTGCTGGTTCTTCAGAGGAGCTCCAGTCTTCGCCTTCAGCTTGGTCGTCTCCTGGCTTCTGGTGCAGACTGTTGGACTTCCTTCTGGACTCTTCAGCCTTCTGGCGTTGGCTCTCTGGCCTTCTTCGTAGATTCTTCAGCATTCCATCGCAGACCAATCAGCCTTTTGATACGGACTTGCATGGACACTGCAGCAAGCTCCAGGCCTGGGGCTGGGCTGTTCAATCTCCAGCACGCAGACACCCTCTGCATGCTTCCTCATCCAACTGTGTAGCTTACCATTGTAAGCCAAACTTGTAATTCCTTGTACATTTGTTTATCTTGTATTATATCTGCTCCTCTAGTAAACTCTGACTGATACACTCTCCCTCATGCACCCCCTCCCCATTCCCTAGGTCCTCCTGGGTGGGACACTAATCCTGGGACAGCAGCACTCTCCCCTGCAACTGGCTTTCTTGGAACTTGAAGGCAGGACCCCTGAGCAGGTTGCCTCTTGGGGAGGACAACCCTACCTCACTCTAATGCCAGGATACCTGCTTCCTCGGGCCCCATGAATACCCATCAGGATCAGCCTAGCTTAGTGGCTTAGAACTGAAATACTCAGAAATTTCTCAGGGAATTCAAGGGGGAAAAAAGGAAGAAAATGAGAAGTAATTTGACTAGGAGTGGGAACTCTTTTAGGGCCTTCTAACTTGCTGATGGATCATGTTCACTGAAAGGGCTCGGCGGGGGTGGTCATCTACCTACAATGTTCTATGTGTGACTTCTTGGATGCTTTTATGCTTCAAAGTAAATTTAATTACAATCTTGGCACATTTGTCACCACTTCATAATTCAGAGAAGAACTTCAAGACTTTGTGTGACAAATGGTGGTGAAAAATGGCAACCAAGCCCTTCTGCATATCACTTCCACAAAAAAGGCTAAAAAAGTCATGGGACTCAGCTGATGTCTTGGGAGTCTGTCACAGTAAAATGACACTCTGAGACATGCACCCCCAGATAATCAGTTTTAAAAATATTTCTACTTATTTAAAGGCAGTGATAGTTATATTTTCTGTTGTTTGTGGCAGGAAACATTCCTGGTCAATACAGTTGAATCCTCCATCTTAAAACACAACACAACAAAACACAGAGCTCCAAGCTTCACTTTATAAATCCCAATACCACCTACAGTCAAGTAAAGAGATTGGTAAGCTAAGAAGCATAAAAAGTATGTTAGGAGAAAGTCAAAACAAGATCTGCCATTTATGGAGTGATTACATGTTATGCTGTTCCGTCTTCCACACAGAAACTTCATGAGAACTGCCTGTGAGAAAATGCTCAGATTTTATGTCCTGTGTAACACTGCACAGCGAGGATATGGTGGACTCAGAATTTGAACACAAGTATCTACCTCAGACCAGCTCACAATTCCAGTTTAGCTCACATAACTGAACTCCTTGAAGACTGATACTGTAATTTAGTGACTACCTGCCTTAGGGCAATAGCGCACAGTTTGTAAGAGCACAAGATGATGGTTTAAAAGGGCACATTTTATATGTGGCCCCTCATCTCTTACATTAAGTATGATATTGATCTCAAAAGATCACTCGGTCATCCTGTCAGCTGGATGGTGAGGTCAGAATGGCTGTATCTGACACATCCCAAAAGGTCTCGAGAAAATAAGTATTTGCAGGAAAAGAGCACGCACTCAGCCAACTATATTGAACTTAATGGGACTCATCACGAAAGTCAAAAACAAGGTATGGCTGGGGATGTAGCTCATTGCTTGCTTACCTAGCCTGTGCAGGCCCAAGGTGAAATCCCCAGCAGGGCAAACAAACCAACAAAAGAACCCTCAAAGAATAATTATTGCAGGGGTTGGGGATTTAGCTCAACAGCACAGTTCCTGCCTGGCAAGCGCAAGGTCATGAGTTCAATTCCCAGTACCAGGGGAAAAAAAAAAAAAGAATAATTATTGCCAGAGAATAAAATAATAAGAAAGATTTTTCAGTGTATCATTTGGAAACACT